ATACCAAGTTCATGGTTTGGAAAAGTTAACATTGTTAAAATAGCTACACTGCCCAAAGAGATCTACAGATTCCATGCAATCCCTATCAAAATGCCAGTGATATTCTTCACAGAAACAGAAAAACAATCCTAAACTTCAGGAATCACACAAGACTCTGACTAGCCAAATCATCTTGAGCAAAAAGAACAAAGCTGGAGACATCACGCTACCTGATTTCAAAATATATTTCAAAACAACAGTAATCAAAACAGAGTGGCACTAGCATACCATGCTGGGTGTATGGCAAAACTACAACCTCTGCCTCCCAGGTCCCAGTTCAAGCAATTCTCCTCCCTCAGCCTCCCTAGTAGCTAGGATTACAGGTACATGCCACCATGCCCAGCTAATTTTTTGTATTTTTAGTAGAGACAGGGTTTCACTATGTTGGCCAGGCTGGTCTCAAACTCCTGATCCTAAGTGATCTGCTCACCTCAGTCTCCCAAAGTACTAGGATGACAGGCGTGAGCCACCACGACCAACCACGTTATCTGATTTTTGACAAAGACACCAAAACATATTGGGGAAACACCGTCACTTAAATATATGATGCTGGGAAAACTGATGAATATGCATATGCAGAAGAATGAAATCAGACCTCTATCTTTTACCATATTCAAAAAATCAACTCTAAATGGATTAAAGATTTACATATTCGATTTGAAACTACTATACACTTTGGGAGGCCGAGGCGGGTGGATCACGAGGTCAACAGATCTAGACTATCCTGGTCAACATGGTGAAACCCCGTCTCTATTAAAAATACAAAAAATTAGCTAGGCATGGTGGCGCGTGCCTGTAATCCCAGCTACTCAGGAGGCTGGGGCAGGAGAATTGCCTGAACCCAGGAGGAGGAGGAGGTTGCAGTGAGCCGAGATTGCGCCATTGCACTCCAGGCTGGGTAACGAGCGAAACTCCGTCTCAAAAAAAAAAAAGGAAAAGAAAAAAAGAAACTACTACAGAAGAAGAAATGCTTCGTGACTTTGGTCTGTGCAAAGATTTTTTGGGCGAGATTCAAAAGCATATACAACAAAACATAAATAGACAAGTGGGTTTATATCAAGCCAAAAAGCTTCTGCACAACCAACAGAGCAAAGATATAACTTGCAGAATGGGAGAAAATATTTGCAAACTATGCATCTGAGAAGGGATTAATATCCAAAATATACAAGAAACTCAACGCCAGGTGCAGTGGCTCATGCCTATAATCCTAGGATCACCTGAGGTCAGGAGATCAAGGTCAGCCTGACCAACACGGAGAAACCCTGTCTCTACTAAAAATACAAAAAACTAGCCAGGCATGGTGGCGCGTGCCTGTAATCTCAGCTACTAAGGAGGCTGAGGCACGAGAATTGTTTGAACCTGGGAGGTAGAGGTTGCAGCGAGCAACAAAAAGAAAAGTCCGTCTCAAAAAAAAAAAAAAAAAAAAAAAAACCACAAGACTGGGCAATAGTGGCTCACACCTGTAATCTCAGAATTTTGGGGGGCCAAGTGGATGGATCACCTTAGATCAGGAGTTCAAGACCACCCTGGCCAACATGGCAAAATCGTCTCCACTAAAAATACAAAAAGTAGCCAGGCATGGTAGGACTAATTATAAATTAGTCCTACCTGTAATCCCAGGTAATCAAGAGGCTGAGGCAGGAGAATTACTTGAATCCAGGTGGCGGAGGTTGCAGTGATCCAAGATCTCACCACTACACTCCAGCCTGGGCAACAGAGCAAGACTCTGTCTCAAACAAATCATAATAATAAAATAATAAAAGAACACAACACCAACCATAAGGAAATTAATTCATAAGGGTGCTAAGTTAAAATTAAAATCTTCTGGCTGGGCCCAGTGGCTCACTCCTGTAATTTCAGCACTTTGGAAGGTTGAGGCGGGTAGCTCACGAGGTCAGGAGATCGAGACCATCCTGGCCAACATGGTGAAACCCCATCTCTACTAAAATACAAAAAACTAGCCAGGTGTGGTGAAAGCCTCCAGCTACCTGGGAGGCTGAGGCAGGAGAATCGCTCTGGAGATGGAGGTTGCAATGAGCCGAGATCATGCCACTGTACTCCCGCCTGGCGACAGAGCAAGACTCCGTCTCAAAAAAAATAAAAATAAAAAATAAAATCTTCTATCCCAACCATTTCTCCCAAAAAGAGACCATTAAGGAGGTGAAAATTCAAACATGGAAGGAGAGAGGAGATTTGTAGCACAGCGTGGTCAAATACCTTTTCCAAAGATGGCCTCAGCAGTGTCTGCTATCCCACATGCCATTCTGCATGTGACCTTGCCTCTCTCTAGTAATTACTGGGGTACATGTCCCTGGGGAGGCTGTGACTTCTTTGAGACCATGTAGTTTCCACCTAGTTCTCTTGGATGGTCACTCTGGGGAAGGCACCTGCTACATAAGAATTTCAAATAGTGTGGGATTGTCATGCTGGAAAGACAGTGAATGGATGCGCTGGTTGGCAGCCCCAGCTGAGCTTCCAGACAACAGCCAGCACCAACCACCAGGCATCCAACCCAGCCAAGTAAGCCCTTCTCAAATTCCTGACTCTCAAAAGCATGAGCCAAACGATATAGCTGCTGCTTTTCCCCACAATATCTTGGGGTACTTTGTTACACAGCAATTATAAAGGAACTGACAAAGGACTCTTATCCAGAATATATAAAGATCTCCTGCAAATCAGTAAGAAAAAGACAGATGGGAAGTGGCAAAGAGCAAAACACTGGAAATCCAAATGGCCAATTATAAAAATGTGCTCAACCAACAGAGCGAAGACATAACTTACAGAATGGGAGAAAATATTTGCAAACTATCCATCTGAGAAGGGATTAATATCCAAAATATACAAGAAACTCAACGCCAGGTGCAGTGGCTCATGCCTATAATCCTAGCACTTTGAGAGGCCAAGGCAGGTGGATCACCTGAGGTCAGGAGATCAAGACCAGCCTGACCAACACGGAGAAACCCCGTCTCTACTAAAAATACAAAAAATTAGCCAGGCATGATGGCGTGTGCCTGTAATCCCAGCTACTAAGGAGTAGTAAAGAAAAGCTAATAGGCCAGGCACAGTGGCTCACCTCTGCTAATCCTAGCACTTTGGGAGGCTGAGGCAGGTGGCTACCTGAGGTCAAGAATTCAAGACCAGCCTGGCCAGCATGGTGAAACCCCATCTCTACTAAAAATAGAAAAATTAGCCAGGCTTGGTGGTGCATGCCTGTAATCCCAGGTACTCCAGAGGCTGAGGCAGAATTGCTTGAACCTGAGAGGTGGAGGTTGCAGTGAGCCAGGATTGTGCCACTGTACTCCAACCTGGGCAACAGAACCAGGCTCTGTCTCAAAAAAAGAGGAAAGAAAGAAAGAAAGAGAGAGAAGGAAGGAAGGAAGGAAGGAAGGAAGGAAGGAAGGAAGGAAGGAAGGAAGGAAGGAGAAAAAACATACAATGAGATGCCAATGCAAACCAACTAGAATGGTTACATTTTAGAAACCGAAAGTGACAATATTGTGTGGGTAAAGATGTGGAGCAATGGTAACTGCTTACACGGCTATGAGCATGCAAAATGGTACAAAGAACTTGAAAAAATACTTGGCACTGCCTACCAAAGTTGAAGATAGCTTATATACACCAGGAAACATATACAAGAGTGTGGTGGCAAGAGCTGGAAACTGGTAACCACTCAAACCTCCATTAATAGTACATGGACAAATAAACTGTGGTGTCTTATACAGTGACAAACTCTGAAGCTATGAAAATGAGCAATGTATAGGTTATCACAGCAACATAGATGCATCTCACTAATGGTGTTGAGCCAATAAATATGAATGGTAGGAATGCATTAAGATAAAGTTTAAAAAAAAACAAGCAAAATGTGAGCTAAACAGTAGGGACACATGAACACACAGAGAAGAATAATAGACACTGGAGCCTCCAAAAGCGGGGAGGGAGGGAAAGGAACAAGGGCTGAAAAATTACCTTTTGGGTACGGTGCCCACTATTTAGGTGATGGGTACACTATGAGCCCAGACTTCACTTGTACACAAGATATGAATTAAGAAGTCTGAACTTATGTCCTCTAAATATACTTAAAATTTTTAAAAAATATATTCTGGCTGGATGCGGTGGTTTACACCTGTCATGCCAGTACTCTGGGAGGCCAAGGCAGGTGGATCACTTGAGCCCAGGAGTTCGAGACTAGCTTGGGCAACATGGGGAAAATCCATTTCTACAAAAAATTCCCTGGGCATGGTGGCTCCCTCCTTTAGTCCTAGCTATGTGGGAGGCTGAGATGGGAGGATCCTTTGAGCCCAGGGCATCGAGACTGCAGTGAGTACAGATCATGCCACTGCACTCCAGGCTGGGTGATAAAGTGAGACCCTATCTCAAAAAAGGAAAAAAAGTATATTCTGGGCCAGGCACGGTGGCTCATTACTGTAATCCCAGCACTTTGGAGGCTGATGTGGGTGCATCACCTGAAGTCAGGACTTTGACACCCGCCTGGCCAACATGGTCAACCTCCCATCTCTACTAAAGATACAAAAATTAGCTGGGCGTGGTGGCAGGCACCTGTAATCCCAGCTACTTGGGAGGCTGAGGCAGGAGAATCGTTTGTGATGGTAAGGTGAGGGGATGTGGGGATGTCACTATGTCCCTTGGCCTGGGGAATGGAAACGCAGGTGTTTGTTGCTTTACCATTCACATTTATAGTATGCTGATATATTATGTACTTTCCGTAAGTGTGTTACATCTCACAATAAATCTTTCAAAGCTAAACAAAGAAGAAAATAAATATATGATTGATAAATACCTAACTTCATGTATCATATTATTACCTAGTTTCTTCAACCTTATTTATTAAATTATCTAAACTATTCTCACTGGTTTGTGATTCCAACTTAATAATGTAGCCAATTCTTACTTGGATTTGAGAGAGCTGGTAGTTATCAAAAGTCTACTCGGTTTTGGCGAGGATGAATGTGCTTTGTGGGGCGGAGGTAAGGGGGATAGAAAATGTGAATGAAACAAAAAGCAGGGAGGGAGGATGAGACAGTCATCGTCCTGGGATTTATTATTAAACAGGAAAATTCTAAAGACAAACTGAGAAGAGAACGGAAGTCTGTCAGAGGGTTGCCAAGTCAGAAAGCAAAAGTAAATTGTCGCTTTATTAAAAAGCTGGGGCGGAGCGGGTCGGGGGGCCGCCATCCTGATGGAGCTCAGAACAAAACATTTGGGGGGGGGGTCTTAAAGCGGAGGCCAGGCCTGCAGGGTGGGGGTCGGTTATCCCGGGTATCCCGCTCTAGGGTGCAGCTTCCATCCATATTGTGCAGGTAGTTAAAGACTGCTGAATGGCTTTTGTTTGTTTGTTTTGCTTTTGTTTTTGTTTTTTTGAGCTGGAGTCTCACTCTGCCTCCTAGGCTGCAGTGCAGTGGCAACATCTCAGCTCACTGCAACCTCCGTCTCCCGAGGGATTCTCCTGCCTCAGTCTCCGGAGTAGCTAGCTGGGATTACAGGCGCGCGCAACCAAGTTCGGCTTTTTAAAAAAAATTATTTGCTTATTTATTTTTGAGACTGGGTCTCCCTATGTTGCCCCGGCTGGTGCCAATGTTTTCAAAGATTTAACATACTGCTATTTTTACATGTATTACTTTGTGCTTACTCTAAACTAGTTTTTATTGATGGAAAGTACAGAAAAGAGCGCGTGCCGCATTTTGTCCCCCGCTTGCCCACCAGGCTCCATTCCCTCTGGAGCGCACACCTAGGCCGTTTGCGTTCCCCGCGTCCCCCCGCCGGAAGCGGCCTGGAGGGGGCCTGGACGCCGCGGTGTCGTGCGCACACTGCTCGGGTGGGCCGGACGCCACGCGGAGGGCTGGGAGGGACTGAGGGGCGCGGGGGGCGGCCTGAATCCCTGTCCCGCCCCCCCGGAACCCCGCCCCGCCCCGTCCCGGGCGCGCCCGCGCGCGCGGACATTCTCAGCCCCGACAGCGGCCGCTCAGGTCGGACCTGCGCGCAGCGGCCGGAGATGCAGCGGGGCGCCGCGCCGTACCTGCGACTGTGGCTCTGCCTCGGACTCCTGGACGGTGAGCGCGGCGAGCTGGCCGCCCGCCCGAGAGCTGGGCTGGCCGCAGAGCGGGTACCGCGCGCCTGGGGCGGGCGCTGCGACCGCACCGACCGGGGGACGGGCAGGGGACACCGTGGCCCGGGAGCGCGGGCGCGGGAGGGAGCACGACGCTCGGGGCCCAGGACCTCGGGATGAGGAAAAGGCGGGCGGGGACTGCAGCCGGGTCAGGCCAGGGCGGCCGGGCCGCGCCTCCGCGCAGGGATAGCCTTCCCAGCCCCCGAATCCGCTTCTCTGTAGGTGGCTCGGCGTCCTCGGAGCCGGGCCCCGTCGGGCTGCGCCCTGGGCCTGGATCCTTCGTGCCCTTACTCGCTTCCCCGCGGCGCGCCTCTTGGTCCCAACCCACGCGCACCGGAGATCCCGGGCATCCCGGCCCGGCCCCAGACTTGGGTGCGCACTTCCCGACGCCCGGAGTCCGCACTTCCCGACGCCCGGAGTCCGCACTCGCGGTGGGTCCCCCAGAGGGCGCTCCAGATGGACCTCCACCTTCCCTGGGCCGGGGACTTCGAGGGCAGGGGCTGGGGACTACCGCGCGCCCGAGGCAGACGGGTGCAGGTGCACACTGCAACTGAAGGCGAGTTTTGAGGAGGCCAGTCGAGGGCTATCAGCGCCGCAGAAGAGGTGGAAGGCCGGGGCTCTCCGGATTCGAGGGGACTGGGGCCTTGAAGGCCAGCTGGGGAGCAGAGGCCCCCACCGGTGGGTCCCCTGCACAGGAGAGGCAGGGTTCAGGTTGTGTTGTGTTCCGGCCGCTCTGGCTGGTGGGGAGAGACCCATACCTAAGGCAAAGGCGGAAGGGCTGGAGAGAGGGACTGGGGGGGATGAGGTCGGGGAGAGGAGCTGGATAGAGATGTCAGGAAGGAAGCTGAGAGGATGAGCTGCCAGTCCACACGGAGCTGGTGTCCCTGCAAATCTAAAGGTGGAAGGGCGGGGTCAGAGTTTCCCACTGTCTGAGCCGGGGAGTGCTGGGAGCCCTGAGGCCAGCGATGGGGACCTCAACATTTCTGCACCCCATAGGAATTAAACAGTGGCTATACATGCTTATAGTTCTCACAGGGAGTGTCAGACCCATTTGACACATGGAGAAGCTTAGACCGAGGACATGTGCCACTCCCCCAAGGTCCCCAGGAGGCCCAAAGTAAGCCTAACAAAGCCCGCCTTCTGTCTACCACGTGTACGTTCACTGGCTGAAGAGCAGAGGACAGGGGAGGGGGCAGGTCTGACTTAACCAGGGGAGTAGGGAGGAGAACATCGGTCTGGGCCTCTAAGTCTGACAGGTCTGATCAGGGCACTGCCCTTGGCCTTCCTGTACCCAGCCCAGGACGGGGCTCTCAATATGTGTTTGTTGAGTGGCTGACAGGGCTGTAGAATGAGAGACACTTAACCTGGAGGAAACATGGGACAGGCCCCTGGGCGCAGTGTCTGAGGCTGGGCTGCTTAGCTGGAGAGGAAGCAGAGGACAGACCCAGCAGGGGACCCTGGGGGAGGGGGCCAGAGGGCCAGGGGGCTTCCAGGGATACAGGGAACATTCTGCAGGTATAAGGAGAACCAGGCGAGGCCAGTGTCCTGGCACTCCCACATGGTTTTGGGGTGAAGGGAGATGAAGCCAGTCCCTCCAGTAAGTGCAGTGACTCCCAGCCAGTTAAGAAGAGGTGGAGAGAGGATGTTAGCTGGGGGTCCATGGGGTGGAGTGTCTGGGGTTGGACCTGGGTTTGGCTGGTGGGGAGATGACAGTGGAGACAGAGTCATCCCTCCCTGAGCCGTGCACTTAGCTCTACCTCCTGCTAGGCTGAAGACCCTGGGACCTCCCAGCCTGCTGGGGGATTTCACAGCGGGAGCACAATCCCTTAGCTGCAGTCAGGCATCAGGGTAGCCAGGGGTAGGAGCAGGCCTCAAGCCTGAGCACCCTGAAGCTGACCCCTTAAAAGTGTGCTATTGGTCATAGAACCAGACTCTTGTCCTGCCTCTTCCCCTAAAATCCTTTCTGTGTGACCCGAGTCCCCTCCTTTCTGCGCCCTGCACCTCAGTTTCCCCAAGCATAGCCATGGCACAAGCTGGCAAGGGGTTGCGTGTGCTTGGGCTGACTCCAAGACCCACTTTCCTGCTCCAGTTCCACAGCTTTCCCCGGGTAGAGAGGGTAGGTCGCCGATGTCTCTTGGGGCTTAGTCTAGAGAGAGGCCATTGGCACCCTTGCAAGTTCATTGGCACCCATCCCTATCGCCCAGGGATGAAAGTGCTCAGGGGCCCTGGTGAGGCACAGCTGGTGGCTGTAAGCTGCACAGGAAGGCAGTGTTGCTTCCAGCTGAAAGTTTCTTGGAGAGGTCTGCAGAGCTCCAGGACAGGGAATTCCAAGCAGGGCAAAGAACCCTGCAGAGGCCGCGAGACAGGAAAGTCCAGATGGTGAATGTGGACGAATGAGTGGTCCGGTGAGGGTAACGTCTGGAAGGAGTGGATGGGAGGTAGCGGGAGACGAGGCTGGAGATGGGGCAGTGCCAGCAGCAAGGAGGCTGGTGTCCGGGGAGACAGGAGCTGAGGAACTGCAAGTAGAGAAAGCCAGGGGGTAAATTGGGGTGGAGGCAGGTCGAAGCTGGGGATGATGGGGATGGGGGAAGTCCCAGGTCTCTGGCTTCAAGAATAGTTTATCAGAGGGAGACCCTGGGAGAGGAGCAGGGACTCAGGGTGGAGTTGTCTAATGGGATTTCCTGGGAGACCCCAGCTGATACAACCAGCCAGATAAGGAAGGAGGAAAGTTGGGAGCACTTGAGTGTGATGGGGCAGAGGGGAATTGGGGAACCCAGGGAAATTAAGTGAAATCAGCTGCAAAAGGGAGGTTCTTCTCTGTGTCTGGCTTACACCATCCTGCTGTAGTTTGGGTATTTTCCTCCACAGGGCAGTTTTCTCTCCACCAAGGCCTAGCCTGTGTCCCACGTTCCTCTTAGATGCCCCTCGGAGTTGGGGGTGGGCAGGGAGAGGGGTCTGGAGAGCCTCTCACACCCCCTAGACTCAGCAAGATTCAGGTCATGTGTCCAGCTGGAGCCAGGGATTCCTTTTCAGACACTGGCTTCCTCTGGAATCTGGGTTTTCCGGTTACGCTGAGCAGACAAGTCTGGGAGCAGGAAGGTGCGGGCATTCATTGCCGGAGGAGGTTCAGGGTGCCAGCCATGGCCAGGCTGGACGGGGCAAACGGCAGGCACACCCCCAGACCTGTCCGAGGCCCGCTCCACCCTCGCCCTCAGCCAGGCCTGGGCAGATCCAGGTGGCAAGTAGGGAGCTGGCCACGTGGCCGGGAAGGTCAGCAGGGGTTCATGGGAAAGGACTTGTCGGCCACAGAAGAGGACATCCTGCCTGCATTTCCCTCTTCCTGCGGCAGGAGCTGGTGGCCCCAATTTAGCAGCACTGGGGGGCCACCTCTGCGCCAGCTGGGCTGTCTAATAACACCGCTCGTCCTCCTGGCCCGCAAGGAGAGCCCTGACCCCAAAGAAGCCAGGAAGACTGCCTGGCACAGCTGGCTGCCCTACTTCCGCCCTGTGCTAGGAGCTTAGCATCTGCTCAGGCCCCCTCCTCCCGGTCTCCACCCACTCGGGGTACTCAGGCAGCCCATGCTCCCAGCAGGTCCAGCCCCTCTCAACCTCATCACCACTCCCTGCTTCCAGCATCTTCCAGAAATTTGTCTCCATTCTGCCCCAAAGGTACTGCTATAAAATACAGATCTGAGCCTTCAGCACCCCCCACCCACCCATCCTCAAGATAAGCACGAGCTTCTTGGGCTAGTGGTACAGGCCCTTCCTGCTAGAGGACAAAATTCAGACTTTCAGGTGGATTTAGGGGAAGCCCTTATCATCACTCCCTCAACACACTAGCTTCAAAGCTACCTTAAATTCTACCGAATGGAGGTTGATTTGTGTTAAGTAGCAAGCGTGCACTGGCACGTGCATGAACATGCACAGATGTGCAGTGTCCGGCAGTGAGCCATGCCTCGGTGTAAAATGGTTTCTTTTTTTTTTTTTTTTTTTTGAGACAGAGTTTCGCTGTTGTTACCCAGACTGGAGTGCAATGGCACGATCTCAGCTCACTGCAACCTCTGCCTCCTGGATTCAAGAAATTCTCCTGCCTCAGCCTCCCGAATAGCTGGGACTACAGGCGCACACCACCATGTCCAGCTAATTTTTGTATTTTTCGTAGAGACGGGGTTTCACCTTGTTGACCAGGATGGTCTCGATCTCTTAACCTCGTGATCCACCCGCCTCAGCCTCCCAAAGTGCTGGGATTATAGGCGTGAGCCACCGCACCCGGCCAAAATGGTTTCTTAAATTGCTTCACAGCAGGGCATGTATAGGTTTTAACTTTATGGCACAGACCTCATTGTGCTTGTTTTGGACATTAGGAAATTAAGGCCAGAAGGGTGAAACGGCTCTCTAGATGATAGATGGCTCATTTCAGGGAGGTAATAGGTGTCTGGTATCTGGTTTCAAACAGCATGGAGGCCAAGTGGGAAAGAAGGACAGGCACACAGGCTGTTGTCCACATTCCCCAGGGAATGCCCTAGAGGGCTGGCCAGGTGAAATCTTCCATTTCTGGGTACTGTGGCACCGTTTTTACTTTGCTGTTCCAGAGACCTATCCAAAGCAGCATGTCCCAGACAGCTCCCCCAGGGTCCACCTCTCGCCCGGCATTTACCTATGTGCACACCCTCTTCACCCTCCTGGTACCCTGTGCCTCTCTTTTCCTCACCGCCACACCTGCCCACACATTCTTTTTTTTTTTTTTTGAGACAAGTATCTTGCTCTGTCACCAGGCTGGAGTGCAGTGGCAACATCTCAGCTCACTGCAACCTCCGCCTCCCGGGTTCAAGTGATATCATGCCACTACACAGAGCAACAGAGCGAGACTCTGTCTCAAAAAAAAAAAAAAAACAAGTGATAATGAGCAGCTGCTCCGTGAAGCTATGGAAAAGTGCAGGAGTCCCGGGTGGGAAGCCATGGCGTTAGATGCTGGGGAACCCGCACAGGAGCTCAAATGTCAGAGGTGGGGAGGGAGTGTTCCAGATCACCTGCACATGGAGGTCTGGAGCCGCATCAGGTGAGTGGCAGGGAGGCCAAGGAGGCTCCAGATTCTGCCCAGAAGCAGCAAAGAGGTAGATTTAAGCAGGAGAGGGACTTGTGTTCTAGAAAGATTGTCTGACCCCTGAGCAAGGACTGGGCCAGTGGGGAGACACTGGTATTGTGATCCAGGGGAGAGCCGTTGAGACTGGCCAGCAGTGGGGTGGGGAGGAGGCAGGGTGGAGGGACAGCAGCCCCAGAATGCCCAGGAGGGGCTCTGCAGCCAGAAGGTGTCCATGGCAAGGATATAGAGTACTTGGTCAGGATGGTGAGGAGAGGTGGGGGCAGGGACCTGGGACTCCCAGCCACCCCACCCTTGATAACCTCCTCCTAGACCAGCAAGCTCCTACTCA